GGGCCCTTCATACTGGGATAGCTACAGCCACACAGGGGCCTCACACCCGGACAGCTTACCCCCGTCCCTCACATCGCCAGGCCCTTCATACTGGGATAGCTACAGCCACACAGGGGCCTCACACCCGGACAGCTTACCCCCGTCCCTCACACCGCCGAGCCCCCTGCTCCGAGCCCTTTGCACTGGGGTAGCTACACCCTCACAGGGGTGTCACACCCAGACAGCTTACCCCGTCCCGCACATGGCTGAGTCTCCCTGCTCCTAGCCCGTTGCACTGGTGTAGCTACACCCACAGCCGAGGTGTAAGTCAGAGGGCTAGCAATCGTGTGTGTAAGCAAGGCCTAGGAGCCGCCTGTCCTAGCCCAGGGCTCCTTGGGAGGAACCCTCTCCTGCCTCGCAAGCTGTCCCCCCGGGGGCGCTATTGCTACCCCTCCGAGCATGGCCATGGGCATTTCCCTCCAGATCTGGGTTCCTGCCTGACCCATCCCAGCATCCTGCCCAGGCAGGGGCCTGCTTTGCTCTATCGGCACAGCCCACTTTTGTGAGAGACTCGAATCCAAGAGGAACAGAATTTAGGTGTTCGGCTCCGGGCCAGTCCTCAGGCTCCTGGGGCTTGGAACACCCCCACCCCGCTCAGCTGAGAAGTTACTGGAGAGGACTGAACTGCCCGGTTTGGTGCCAGCTCACTGCCAGGGCCCCATGCTCCAAGTCTGCCCCCTCCCAGGGGAATGCCCGTGTGCTGACCCCATGGGGACAGCTTGGCTCCTGACCCATAGCCCCCCTGTTCTCCTCACCCTGGGCTCCGCACTGCCAGTGCCCACATACCTGACCCACAGCCCCCCTGCAATCCCCATCCTGGGCTCCGCACTGCCAGTGCCCCCATGCCTGACCCACAGCCCCCGTTCTCCCCACCCTGGGCTCCGCACTGCCAGTGCCCACATGCCTGACCCACAGCCCCCCTGCAATCCCCACCCTGGGGTCTGTGCTGCTGGCTATCCCCAATCCCGACCCACAGCCCCCCTGCAATCCCCACCCTGGGCTCCGCGCTGCTGGTGCCCTCATGCCTGACCCACAGCCCCCCTGTCCTCCCCACCCTGGGGTCTGCGCTACCGGCGATCCCCAATCCTGACCCACAGCCCCCCTGCAATCCCCACCTTGGGCTCCGCGCTGCCAGTGCCTCCATGCCTAACCCACAGCCCCCCTGTCCTCCCCACCCTGGGTCT